AAAAAATAAAAGATTTAGGAAAGAGGTCTTTGAAAAAGAAAACGAAAAGAAAAAACGAAGAGAGGACCCAAAATACTTCTCACTCTGTCCCACTCTCTACGCGCGCCACCACCTCAACATATCCGGCCACAATATCCACCTCTTGTCTTGCTTGCCCAGTACCCACCACCGACTTGTCCGTCACATATACCTCTGTCTATATATAAATATATATACCTAACTACTATACTACTAATATACTACTAATATTACTATATACTATATACTTACTTAAAAGAAAGATGCGAAGAAAGAGTAAAGAAAGATGTACAACTCTCTTTCTCTCTTTCTCTCTTTCTTTCTATCTCTCTCTATCTCTTTCTATCTTTCTCTATCTCTATCTCTCGCTCTCTAACACTGGTGGTGGTTGTCTGTGTTGTGCTGCCTCTGTCTGTCGTAGAGCAAGGAGGCCGGCATCCGCACTCTGGTCGCACTCGACGACCAGGGAGGTGAGTGAATTCCGCTTGTTAGCAATTAAGTAAACGGCCGAAAACAAGAGTACGAGGTGAAGAAACGAGAGAACCGCTCGTTGTCGTATAATCACGCACGTCTTAACACGCCGTTACCCGCGAGTCCTCACATGCATATAACACACGCATACACAAACGGTATAACATCATGGACTCTCGAAATAGGAAAATTTCGAGAAGGAACGCAATGACCTGATTTTGGCATTTTTTTACACTAGTGCAATAACTTATGCAATAACATTTCAATTACATGTAATGGAATTAATCTGGTTTTTTTATTCCCAGTCTAGTGTTTTTTTCTTTTTATTACATATAAGATTTCTCTTTTGGATTTGCTGTATATACAAGAAGGTGTTGCTTCTTTTAGAAAATATATAATATTTCTTTCAAGATAAATCTTATTTGATTTATATAAAACTGTTGATGTATAAAATTATGGATGTTCTATTCAAAATTGTTTTTTACATCTTCTCGCATTTTTCCCGTTTCTTTGATATGAAATCTATTTGATGACAATCAACAGTATTCGGACATCCCGTAGATTTCATCCTAAACGTTATTTATGCTTGCTACTCGTGGGAGATAATTCTAGAAACCTACTACGTCTTTTAAATATCCTTACGTAATTATACCCATGATAATAATCAGACACATACATAACGGTATAACGATTAAACATTGACTCTTCCGGTCGTGTACACGAAGGCTCTTAACAATCTTAAAAATATGCTTTTTTCTATATTATATACTCGATATCAGATTTTCTTAGCGAGCAAAACTATTTCTCTATAAAGCGACCGAAAGGGTTAACGCAGTGATCTCGAGAGTCAACGCTCAACACGCTCGCGGGTTATAAATGCTAATCAGACGGAAATTATTCTATTAACACGTTCTGTCCTCTTCCGGGGCCCGAGGTATTCCCGAATATAGGCCCGCCATCCCTAAACAATCACCTCGTTAATTACGATCGATGTGCATGCGGATATTCGGAGTGTTGCAACTCGTTTGTACAGAATAATTCGCAGACGGCACGCGAAACGTATGAATTTGTTCCTTTATATTTCGCGTCGTGAAACATCCGGTCAAATCTTCGGAAGATACTCCGAGGAGTCGGACTCCTCGCAAAACGCGGAGGCGCTCGTTGTAAATGCAAGAATAGAATCCAAGAATAGAGTGCAAGAATTTGGATTTTGGTCTTCGAAATATCAGTTCTACGCTCGCGATTTGCGCCTGAAATTATCTCGCGTCTAACAATTTAATGCCGCGCTTTTAACTCGATGGCGAGCCGACGGTTGGTTCCGCTTTAGCTTTACCTAATCGTCCTTACGTTTCCTAAGAGGGGTTAACACGGAGACGATTCCGCGACGACCGACCTTACCTCTCACGATAGGACATCAACAATGAAGATCATTTCGTGGCCGATTAGCAAACTCGATTAGCAAACTCGATCGACAGCCAACTGCCACTGCACAATCGCAAGTTGTATATACCATTATCGCCGGATGTACTACGATTACTATACTGATTACAACACTATTGCCATCACTGACACCACTGATACTGCTGATATATTACTAACTACGTTACTACTTGTACACTACGGCTGCGGGTCTCGGGTCGTTGAGAAAAAAATTTTCATCTTGCTCGTTCCCTGATTGATTCAGCTTTACTTCCCGCGTAAATTTCTCGAAAAAGTGTAATCTCTGTAATATCACAGAATTCTTTTATTCTCGAAATTAACTATATGTTTTAATGATTATTTTTTTTTTATGCATAAAAGTCAAGCCAAGCGTTTTTTCAAGGTTTCGAATCATACCTGTGACATGGCATTTTCCATTCAGCATGTAAAAAGACTTTTTTTTCCCAACCGACCCGACGAGTACAGCTCGTGCAACCACGACGTGAACTTATTCAGGCCCATTTTTATCCCGCGCCGTGTTTCCACCACATGTCTCACCATCGTGACGTTAAGAAGTTCTAAGAGATAATTCCCACGACACACATTGCCGGCCGATGTATACATAGCGTGAAAACGGGCCTCCAGCAATGAATCAGTTATCGCTGCTGCTGCTGTTGCTGCTGCTGCTATATCGCCGTCGCTATTTGCCAGCGTTGACGCAAAACTCGGCTCGTACACGATCCAACAATCTGCGCGGATTACTGTCGCAGACACGACAGCTCGAGCAAACAGCGATTTCGCCATTGCATAAACAAATCATCGCATCAACTTTGCATCGATATTTTATCAATACAATACTAATTACTCCTCACTTTACTTAACATACTGGTACCTTTTTGGACAATCTATCTCTGTTTACAGTTGAGTAGTGCCTGTATACCTGAGTATACAAGTTTTTAGATCCCTGGTGTTTGTGATCTCTCTACCTTACTTCCCTGGATCCCTATGATAATTTTTTTTTTTTTATAATCTCTCCCTCTCTATCGCGCAGACTGTTGGACCGCTTGTAAGAACTTAACACTTAATATTGTACAATTAACAATTGTTATTCGGATAGCATTATCGGTCGCAATCGTTTCATTTTCGTTTCTTCCATCCCTTTTTTCTTTGTGTAAGCCGATTACACGCCCATACACTCATACTCATCTCGCGCTCTTTTTCTTTCTTTCTTTCTCTATTTACTTCCGCGTAGAGGATTTCAAAGATCCTCTTTGTCATTTAGATGACACGCTAGATGCATTCGCGAGGTACGACGCGATAATTGCATCTGACGTGTACGGGAATGATTTTACCATACCCTCGAATTTTTCCTCACGGCCTTTCACACCCTCTCGCGGGTGTGGTGAAATTTAAAAGCGTGTCATGTCACAGTCTCTCTCTCTCTCTC